CGAGTTTATCGGCGAACATACGGTTGACGAGTCGCTGGTAGGTAGCACCGGCATTCTTCAACCCGAATGGCATGACTTTATAACAGTATGTTCCTCGGTCTGTGATGAACGCTGTCTTCTCGCGATCATCGGGGTGCATCATGATCTGGTTGTAGCCCGAGAACGCATCCATGAAGGTGAGCATCTCATTTCCTGCGGTTGATTCTACGAGACGGTCAATGCTGGGTAATGGGTAAATATCCTTCGGGCAAGCTTTGTTAAGATCGGTGAAGTCGACGCACACGCGCCATTTCCCGTTCTTTTTCTTGACCACCATGGGATTCGCTAGCCATTCCGGGTAACGAACTTCTGCGATTGAACCAGCTCCGAGTAGTCGTTCGACTTCCTCGTTCACTGCTTTTGCTCTTTCCGGACCCAGCTTACGTCTTTTCTGACGGATAGGCTTGAAAGTGGGGTCGACGTTGAGCTCGTGAGTGGTTATCGCTGGATCGATTCCTTTCATGTCTGTGACAGACCAAGCGAAGGTGGACACGTTTTTCTTCAGGAATGTGAGTAATCTTTGCTGCATATCGTCGGTTAAATGTGCACCGACGCGCCCCGTCTTACTCGGATCAGAATCGTCTACAGGCATCTCCAGAACCTCATCTTTCTGAGGAAAGGTTCGAGCGATCGGATGAGAGACAGAGTTGACTAGGGACGATGAACGTTGCAGCTTGACTGTGGCGATTAGCAGGTCTCGCGCGGCTTGCTGATCGCCACGGACGGTCTTGATTGTTCCGTCTACCCCGGGAAACTTGATGCATTGGTGGTAGGTTGATGGAACTGCTTGCATCGAATGTATCCATGGGGTTCCGAGAATGACGTGATAAGGAGCTTTTGTGTTCACCACGGCGAATTTAACCGTTCGAGTAACTCCGCACGCGCGGACTGGGAGACGGATCGTTCCTAGGATGGTTTCCGATGAGCCGTTGAAGCCGGTCAAGGTCCGTGAGGATGACTTGACGTCGTCGAAATCGACCCCCATCTTTTCAAGCGTGTCACGAAAGATTAGGTCAACCGAGCTTCCTGTGTCGACTAGTACTTTGGTTACATCGTACTTACCGATCTCAAGGACGACTAGCAAAGGGTCGTTGTGGGGCAGGTGGATTCCGTTCAAATCTTCTTGGGTGAAGCTGATCGGCGTGTGACTCGGTGGCTTCGTAGGCCAGCGTCTCGAAGACGCGACTTGACGCCGGTAGTCTTTGACGGAGCGGACAGAGTCGCCACAAGGAGGTGATCCACCCATGATGATGTTCAGCCGTGGTTTCGCGACTACCCGTTTGGTATCTAAGAATGTACGGAGATCCGCTGGGACGTTCTCTCCGCTCGACTTTGACGACTCCTCGGTATGAGACGAGGTTGACCGCTCTAGCCGTTGATTCATTGATTTGGAACGGTTTAGTCGCGCGCGTAAATCGGTCAGGTTAGCGTTGAGTTTGTCGCGCAGATCTGTGACAGGCTTGTCGA